TACCCGCTGTCTTCCGCGAAAAGGGCAGGAGTTAAAAGACGGCTCAAGCTCAAAACTGAATCGCATTCCAGACGAGGCTGCCTCGATTTACGGCCCTGCCTGTAAGCGTATTACAGACATTGCATCAGCGATACAGTTGCATGGCGTTTCCTGCTGGCGGATATTGAAAAAAATTCGGGGACTGAGATGTTCTGCAAGTCGCCTAAAAGTAGAACGTGGGCCCGACCCCCTGCGCCCTGATATTTCGCAACCGAAGGGGTCGGGAGGTTGATCAATGAGGACAGATTTTCTCCCGTCGTGCTCACAGGCTAATCATGACACCCGTATGTATGCTTATCTCGCGATCAATGCTGCAGAGTTGATGCGGATACGCATTACGGGCCTGTGTCTTTCCGTGGCTGTCCTTTTGTGATGACTGTAGCGTCGTGTAGCGTCTTCAGGAAAACCCCGATGATAACCTCACGACACGTGGATTATTGTCGTGGCGGCGCGCCTGCCAGGGTATGAACTTATTGCGTGTACGACCGCAGATGATGTCATTGAGTGGCTGACCTCGAGAACGCGCCGCGAGCTCCCCGGCGCACTAGCAGGCCGCCCTGTGCGAGGCTGTGACGGCCGGCGCCCCCCCCCCCCCCCTCTCCAGATCGTGAACGAGGGCTCCAAGTTCCGGTACCGCTCCGGTGGCCAATTCAACTGCGGCAAGCTCACGCTGCGCGCGCCCTGCATGGCCGTGGGCCACGGCGCGCTGTACCACTCGCAGTCGCCGGAGGCGTTCTTCGCGCACGTGCCCGGCATCAAGGTGCGATGCGGCGTCACGGGCGGCGCTGAGGGCTGTTGGTATCAGCAGCGGCGGTGGCGAGTGGCTGCCGTCGTCGATGCCGTGTTTTGGGTTGGAAAAAAACTGGAAGTTCAGGGTTTATGCGCGACTTCTGTCGGTCTGGCAGTGATGATGTGCCAGCCCGGATTTGGGAAGTCGTTGCTTCTTACTCAGATCGTTGGTATGGAGTCGGAAAATAGTTTGAGAACGCCTCAGATGGAACCCATATCAGCATGCTCTCTGTACATGAACAGGCGCCATGCACTTTCTTCAAGACATCACCATCATCCTCATCATCGCCATCATCACCATCATGACCACCATCGTAACGGTGCGGTCTCGGCCAGGTGGTGATCCCGCGCGGCCCGATCAAGGCCAAGGGCCTGCTGCTGTCGTGCATCCGCGACCCAAACCCGTGCGTCTTCTTCGAGCCCAAGGTGCTCTACCGCTCCGCCGTGGAGGAGGTGCCCGTCGCCGAGTACACGGAGCCGATCGGCAAGGCCGACGTCCTCGTCGAGGGTGAGCTGGCCGGCAGAGCGCGTGGAGTTCACGCTGGTGTGCTGCCGGAGGGGGGGGGGATGCTGGTCTCCATGCGGGGTGTAAGGGAATTTCGGTGTGTTTGGGGATCGTGAGCTTATGTTTTTTTTTCTGCCAGCTGGTTCCGGCAAGCTGTTAAGGATGTATGGGCGTGTTGATGTGGCAGCAAGCCTTTCTTCGTCGGTGGTATAGGCTGTGCTCGATTGTCCCGTTGCGATGCGTTGTTTCACCATGCTGCTGGTGGGCAGACGTCATGCCTTGAGTGCTGCAGGACTTCTTTAATGCAATAGCAGGAGCGCATGCATGGTTTTTACTGCTAGTGTTGATAAAATTTTGGTGGAAATGGCAATCGCTTTTCAACAGATGCGTCATTACAACCTATTTTTGTGAAGAGAAATTGATTACTGTAAAATAAAAAATAAAAATTAAAGTTAGCTTTGATTGAGCTTCATTTTGTTACGCGCTACACGTTGTGCTCTACGTCACCAGTTTCTGCTGTAAAACAATCGCACGCGTGCACGACGACACGTTTGCGAAGAGTTAATCGGGGGCATCACTTGCCGCAGGTGATGACGTCACTCTGGTTGGCTGGGGGACCCAGGTGCACGTGCTGCGCGAGGTGGCTGACCTGGCGGCCGAGAGGCTGAGCGTCTCGTGCGAGGTCATCGACCTCGTCTCCATCCTGCCCTGGGACCGGGAGACAGTGATGAAGGTTGGAAGCGTGCGCGGGCCGCCGCTGGGGGCGGTTTATCGAGGCGAAGTAAGAGTTTGCTCGTTTATGTGGATCGTATGGGTGCATGGGCTATTAGAAGTCTTTTGGGAATTACTTGTGAGTCAAATTTGCAAAGATGATGTGCATGCTTCTAGTTCATGGCGTAATCCAGGGTTGTAGTTTCGCAAAATAAGTTGGGATCTAAGCCATGAGAAATGACGAAATCTCCCGCAAAAATGCGCCAGCAATCGGCTTTCTCTCTGGATTTGGTCCGCTTTCCTCTCAAAGATGGGGCTGCCCCTAAACTGAATTGGAAACTTCACCTCCAGTATTATCCGTTGTGATCTCAGAATTGTGTGAGTCGTAGTTTCACTTGTTAAGCCCGGCCTAGAGTACACAGGGCTTTATTGAAATTTTACGTCGAGGTAAGATCCTTGTTGTCACGTTACCGGCTGTATGGTCGCTGCGGTGTGCGGGTCACGAATGAGCTTGAGCTCTCAAGTCCTGTGATCAAAAACAGCGTGTGGATTCCGAGGACTTAGTTGTGGAGGCCTGCGACAGGTGGCTCGTCGGCGCGGTTCGTATAGGTGGCGCTGGCAGCGCGGGAGTGGGCCTGACCGTCGGATAACCACCGGCTCCCGCTCGGGCCCATCCTGCTGCGTCCGTCGTGTACTGCCTTATTCCTTGGCACTGGCATGTAGAGCCTCAACAAATGTGGACATATATTTTACGAAGAGCCGCACTGGTATCTTTTATATTCAAGCTTCGAAGAGCACGTGCGTCGCGTCCGCGCCACTTCTGTGTAATGCACCGAGCAGTCAGTGGGGTCTGCAATTAAGTCCGCCGGAACTGGATGGAAGTTCGAAGGCGGAGTAATCGAAGCTCGTAATAGCCGGGCGCGGACCGAGAGCGGGAAGCCCAAGTCGCTTTTGCGACCCTGCTGGTTACGATTGAAGACCTGTGCTGGACCGCGGCATGCCGAAACCGGTGTGACGAGCGCAGATGCCTCATACTACAAAAGAGTGCAAGAGTGGTACTAGATTTCTATGATGACGAGTATCTTGGAGTAAAAAAGTGTATGAAGCACGTGCAATTGGCATGTCGCGCTCTGCAAACGGTGGAAATTAGGCGTGCATATGTACTACTTAACAATGCAACCGGCATGCAGGCATTCCATTCGATCCTATCTGTGAAGTCAAAAATGGGAAAAATCCGAAAATTGTCAGCGCCAACTTGGTCTATGCGTAAAAAGCCAAGTGTTCATCAGTTTACCTGGGGTCCAAAAGTTGTCATCATGTACGTGTATTCGCACCAGTCAACGCGAGCAATACGCCGAAGCACTCGGCTTGTGCTGCGGCGGCCGCGCGAGCCCGTGCTGACCGGCCTGTCGTGTCGCTGTCCGGCAGTCTGTGATGAAGACGGGCCGGTGTCTGGTGTCGCACGAGGCGCCGCTGACGGGCGGCTTCGGAGCCGAGCTGGCTGCCACTATACAGGTGCAATGCCCCCCCCGACTGTCGCGCCGGTCCCTCCCAGCTGTATGCTGGATGGTCAGCAGCACACAGATGATTGTCATGTCCGTAGATGCTCTATTTTGTCGTGCTGTGTTGTGTCAATATGGAGGTCCTGATGCAGTTCGTGTCAAAGGAGAGCTCGCGACTGGCAGCAACTATGGGCCAGTTGCAGTAACCACATGGTAGTGATGGACGTGCATATTATTTTGGTCGGCGTACTTAGTTTCCGTTAAGCATCGTAATAGCCTGGTTATCCTGGTACACCATTATTCTCTCGGTGTTTGTTGGTTCTACCCACACATCCAGTCTTTGAATGCCGAGAGACTGGCGTTTGTTTCAATCGTTTGCATCCCGCCCCCCAACACTCCAACCTTAACCACGATCCGGAAGTCTCCCTTTCGGCCCCTGCAACGCCCTCGCGCGGCCGTGATCTCGTGTGCCCTCGTGTGACGCCGTCGTGTGCCGGCCGCCGCAGTCGGAGTGCTTCCTGAACATGGAGGCGCCCGTGCAGCGGGTCACCGGTCACGACACGCCCTTCCCGCTCGCCTACGAGCCGTTCTACATGCCGACCAAGTGGCGCTGTTTGGAGGCCGTCAAGAAGCTGGTCAACTACTGACCGCCCGCCCGGCGGCGGCCGACACGGGTGCTGGGAGTGCTGGAGCGGGGCAAGGCTGCGGCCGCGTGGCGCTACTGAGCGGAAACGGGACGACGTGAAGGCCGGCTTCTTCGAGGTCGTGACAGCGTCGGCGCAGGATGATTGTGTTCTGTTGTGCAGGTCGTAGAGGGCCGGGATGAAGTGTTTGCGCAGAGGGCCGTTCGCGGGCGGTTCGTAGAGGGCCGCACGTCGGTGCGGGACGGGCGGTCGTATGGGAGTTGCCGCCGGTTCGGGTGCGGCGCGCAGCGCCCGGTGTTCGGTCCGGTGCGACGGTAGCGTTCCTGTCACTTGACCAGCTAGGTGTTGTCTACCTTCGTGGGTGACCGTCGCAGCCCAAGTCTGTGCGTGGTAGTAATGAGTGACGTGTGGTTTGGATGATTATTATATTTTCGCCGAGCTTTATAGCGCGCCGCTTGGTTGCAAACGGGACTTCGCGAGATCTGGTGGAAGGGTACTGTTTTCGGGGCTTAGGGGGCGTCGCCAGCAACGGTCGTTGATGGTAGCAGCGAAGTGCAATATTAGTGTATGGTAGACATGTAAAGCGCGCAACAGGTCGTGTTGTGCGCTGCTTGCCAGGGTTTTGTACTGCCTGAGTCGGTATCGCGACTGACGCCGTGTTGATGGAGGCTGCTGCGAAGCTGCGGTCCGTCGGTGGTTACCGCGGGTAATGTGCTCTGCATGTCCACGCCGTCAATGACAAACCATCGCGTCGTTCGAAACTCGGAAGTTCGATCCGACCGCAACCAAATGAATCTAAGAATACAAGTGTGCAAGCCAGCGATGTATGTATATCTTCACAAATCCGCCAGAACAGCCGCTGGCGCTTCAGACCGCGCTTAGAGCTGCAGGTCCAGCTCGTCCGCCAGCGAGTCCATCTTCCGCTCCGTCCTCGCGTTGGTCTTCTTCCGCTTCTTCATCATAGCCTTGTAGGCCTTCTTGGTCATGACTCGCTGTTCCTCCTGCTGCAACTCACTGACCTTCTCCCCCTTTGTCTTCTTCTTGGCGGTAAACTCGACCTGGAGCCGTCCCCCGGCGTCGGCCGGCCGCCGATCTCCGGTCTCCATCTCCTCGGTCTCTTGCGTCTCGGCGGCGGACGCGGCCAGCGGCACCGCCTGCGAGGCGCGCGGCGCCTCCATCGCCTCCATCTCGGCGTCCGCCTCGGCCGCCAGCGCGTCCAGGTCGAACTCGGCCGCCATCTGGGTCACGATGGTCGCGTCGCCGACCGCCGCCGCCGCCGCCGGCGGGTGCGTGTAGTACTTGATACGACCGGTGTTCCAATCCTGCAGCACGAGGCGCGCGGCGGCGGCGGCGTCCGGCACGCCGCCTCGCTTCAGCCGTCCCTGGCGCCGCGCCAGCAGCAGCAGGAACTCGGCCGTCGTGCTGAACATGGGCAGCCGGTAGTGCAGCATCAGCTGACGCCGGTCGGCGCGCCGCAGAATGGCCTCCACCGGCAGTGCCGGGTCGTCCAGCTGCTCGATCTTGAAGGCGTTGCGCAGCGCCGTGGCCGCGTCGCCCGCGTCACCCGTCTGCAGCACCATGCCCGGAGAGTCCAGCAGCTTGATCTTGGCGTCCAGCTGGATCTCCTGCACGGCGCGCGTCACCCCCGGCGTGGCGCCGACGCCGCACGCGCGGCTCCTCTTCAGGCTGTTGATGACGCTGCTCTTGCCGACGTTGGGCAGGCCGACCACGCCGACGGCGATGCTGGTGCTGATGCCGCGGTTGCGGCAGTAGTTGCCGAGCAGCTTCATGAGCGTGGCGGCGCCGAGGCAGCGCTGCGACTGCAGCAGCGGCTCCGGGCAGCTAAGCACGTCCAGCGCGCTCTGGCCCAGGTTGCGACTTTGCTGCTGCGTGCTGGCCTTGAACGCCACCGTCGGGAACTCGCCGCGCAGGTACCTGGCGGCGGGGAGGCTGGGCTGTGACTCTCGACTCTCGGAGGGCGAGCGGCTGCCCAGAGCATTGGTCGGCGGGGGGGGGGGGGGGAGGGGGACGAAGGCCGCGATGCTCGGAGCTACAGTGTATGACGTCTGACACATCGCTGGAAACACATTTTACAGGTGCTAACCAGCGCGCGCTGGAAGCACCTCGCTGGAAAGGCCGCTGAATGTCATTTCAAGCCCCTGATCCGCAGCCGCATGTGTCGTATGCTAATTATGTGGAGATCTGATCCTAAAATCCAGAATTAGAACTATAGTGTACGACGCATACCACATAATCAAACTTCGGGCCCATGTCAGTACAGCTAGAATGTTGACTGTCATGATCACCCAGCAGCAATCCATCTCCCATGGCGATGTCATGCACTTCTGCGTTGTTGCAAATAGTACCTGTTTAGAACCAGCTACGCAGCATGACCAGCCACCCGGCGACTACGAAGCTCAACAGCACTTCCTGTTCGGTCACGAGCTGTGCCCAACGGATGATTTTTGGTTGGCAATGTCACCCGTTTTCACAATACGCTTCCGCTGTTCTGAAATTAGCCCGCTCTTTTCCCGTGTGCTTTCATGTACAGGTCTTCCGCTTGACATTGGATGCTCGTCTCATGTACGCCCAGCACAGCCACTCCGCCCGACCGATGCGTGGCGTTAGCACTGTTGCTGCTACTGTCGCGAGCTAGCCTGTCGTCCACGCCAGGGTTAAGACGCCACGGATGCTCAGGCCAGCACTGTCTGGCAAACACAACATATTGGGGATGCGTGTGCGAGTGGGCGAGGGAGCCCGCATTCACGTTCCATCAGGCGAGGTGCCTGACAGAACGTCTGTCCTCTGCTGAAATATCTTTAAAATCACCATAAAACGCGGATGAGATCACCATGCTGCTTTTCCAGCCGTCTTTGTGTTGGTGATGGTGCCAACCACAGCATCCACTAGGCAGCATATACTGCACCCACTCCACCCAGACAGCCACCACTCCTCCCTGCCACGCTCCGGCGGCGACGCCGAGCGCGCGCCCTGCCCCACTCACTTGACCCAGGCGGCCAGGTTCTCGCGGGGCACCAGGTCCGCCTTGTTGAGCAGCAGCACCAGCCGCTTGGAGCTGCCAGCTGCCAGCACCGTCTGCTCCACCTCCTTGCTGCGCGTGCCAAGCGGGTCACGCGCGTCCAGCACCTCGATCACCACGTCCGCGGATTCCACCACCTGTGGGGGTGGCAGGTGAGGTGACAGGTGACAGACAGGTGATAGGGGCAGGTGACAATTAAACAATTCCAGCAATGTTGGCCTAGCAGGATGAAGAGGGCTGATTGCCTAAAGGTTGGGAACTAACAACCTACAGGCAAATGTTTCTGCTGTGTCTACCTTCATGTGCTTCCTCTCATAACAGTTCCTCATGATTAAGTGGCTATACACAGAAAATAAAGGTTCAATCATTTGCAAGGACTTGAGTAGAGCATAAAAGAATAGACATAGGTAAACAAGATTCATCTTGGAAAACTACTTCAGCATTAATATTGATAATGCACCTAATTAGAGGGAGTGTCCCAGGATTCAGTTAAAAGTTTTTAAAGTAGCATTTTACACTCATGAAACAACATGTGGCAAAACAGCTGCTGCTGCCAATAGCTAAATTGGCACCTATGACAAAAATACAGCTATAGTGACAGAGTCAAAACATACTTGTTGCAAGTCATCTATAAACAACTTGAGCACAGTAGTCTATGTCCATGCGGTTCTGCTGCAGGTAAATGCAGCTATCCATGACATTTCAGAAATACACTGCACTTCAGATGTATATGCACATTTCAAGCAGACTTCACAAATTATGACCTTAGATGCAAATGCCAAAGGCACAAGGAAGGCAGTTTAACAGAGGACAGGGAGGTAGGTGAACTAGGTAGATACATTATTGTTTTCTAACATTCAATTAATAGTTAGATTGTATTTCTATATGTGTTTTTGGAAGAGACACCAGGTAATGCATTGTTTGATTTCAGTAAAAAATATTATCAATGGATGATGGCAAATGCCTTTGCACAGTACATTTCAGCCTCAGACCCACAGCAGATGATAAAGATGCATGATTTTATCACCTGGTATAACTGATTAACTTGTTTTCCCATGTCTCTGTGTAGCCCTGTGCAGCTGTCAGCCATACTAAGCAAATAGATTAAACCCAGTACTTAATGCAGCTTACAAACATGGAGAAACCCCACAGCAGAAACCCATGAGAAGACAGGTATAAAACAAGCCATATTGAGGGTTTATACAATGCACTTTCAACATAATGTACTACAAGGTTATCTTTGTAGTTATCTTCTAAGGTTATCCATCAACTTTGAAACCATGCCATAATCACACACACCCAAAGTACAACTGCAAGTGTAGGTGTACTTCCCTACCTCACATTAGAAAAAAATATTGTACACCATTTGTCGTGTTTAAGGCGGAACATATAGTAAATAATCTCAAAACAGGTAGAATCATGCTCCTACCTTCAAGTTTTCATAACTTCGATGGCAAGCTCCTGAGTGCCGCACACACCGCAGGCATTGACATTGTGTAATTACAATATTTCTGCTTACCAAGAACTTTAAAAATGTATGGGACCAAGGTAACAATAATAATGCAATGAAAATTGTTTCTTATCATGTTAAGGTATGTTTATGAAACACATAGGCCAGAATAGTCCAGAACATAGCCTAAACTAGCCTAGCCTAGCCTAGCCTAGCCTAGCCTAGCCTAGCCTAGCCTAGCCTAGCCTAGCCTAACCTAACCTAACCTAACCTAACCTAACCTAACCTAACCTAACCTAACCTAACCTAACCTAACTTACCTTACCATACCTATAACCTAACCTAACCTAACTGAGAATAGACCAGAACCTAAGCTAAGCTAAGCCAACCTAACTGAGAATAGACCAGAACCTAACCTAACCAAGAATATACCAGAACCTAAGCTAAGCTGAGCTAAGCTAAGCTAAGCTAAGCTAAGCTAAGCTAAGCTAAGCTAAGCTAAGCTAAGCTAAGCTAACCTAACCTAACCTAACCTAACCTAACCTAACCTAACCTAACCTAACCTAACCTAACCTAACCTCCCCACCCTATGTCTCCTTCAACCCAGCATCCCATTGGCATTCATGTTTCATGCCATATATAGGTACCATATAGTGAGCTTTTATTTAGCTGCCATGTTCTCATTTTACTTTACATTCCCCACCCAATCCCCCTGCAGCCCATCCTCCCCTTGGCATCAAAGATCAAATTTCATGGATTCTTGTTGCCTGGGCACCCTACATTTTTATGGTTCTTCATGCTGCTTGATGCACAGTAATGTTGTGACCGCGCACAGTAATGGTGCCGGTGTCACGACTGCTGTGTGTGTGCAGCGCTCGGGAGCTCGCCATCGTAATTATGAAAAATTGGAAGGTAAGAGCATGAACCTACCTGTTTTGTGATTATTTAATATATGTCCTGCCTTAAACATGACAAATGGTGTGCAATAATTTTTTCTCACGTTAGGTAGGAAAGTACACCCTGACCCAACTGCAACACTCACCTTTCTGAATTCCTTGTAAAATGCCTTTGCAGATGGATCAGTCGAACTGTTAGCTTGAGCCATACTTTCATATTCCTCATTTTTTGTTTGCACTGCTGAAACCAGGTCATTAAGGGAATTTGAGGTGGATGACCCATCCTTGGCCCTTCTTTGCGCTTTGAACTCCTCTCGCTTTTTCTCACGCAGTTGCTGGATGCGTTGCTTTTCAGCTTGTGCTTCCTCAATTACCTTCTCCTTAAATGGTGCTAAATTGGGCACTCCTGGATCCTTCTTTTTCTTTCCCTTCTTGGGATTCTTTTTGGCCTCTTTTTTCAACTTTCTTGCATGCTCTTTAACTTTTTTTGCTATCTTGTACTTCATATTGCATGAAAGTCGTTTACTCTTCTTTTTTGAAAACTTGTTGGTCACCATCTTGGCAAATAGATGCGATAAAAGTCGTTTTAAGGAGACGCCGTAAGCCTACTCGAACTCACACCCTCACCAGACTGCACACGCCATCAAAGGACGGATTCAACATATCACGCGAATAGCATCATTACCGACACGTTTATTTGTCACAGCAGCGTCAAGATGCACGCCAAATACGGCATGCTGGTCGTGGAAGAATCTCGCACTAAATTCCAAATACGTTACAAATTCGTTACACAGTATGCCCTTTGACAACATAAAAACACATAATGAAAATGGGAGAGTATAGGTCGAAAATCCTGAAGAAAACTGGCTTTTGCAGCTGCGGATCCGTGAAATCTCAAGAGGAAAAATGATGCGACCACGTAATTGCTGATGAAAATCAGCGTGACATGTTTCACATCTACCAGACCGCCACATCGGTTTTGCTGGCGTCAAATACATTCAAGTCTGATGGCGAGCCACAAAATTACAGAAGTGATGTTGCATAACCAGGTTTTTTGACTGAGACAAGATTGTGAGTAGGGTGGAGGGGACGCAAAAAGCATGCGGGATAAAGAAACTCTAGTTTATCCGTAATTTTGTCTGTCAATGAGCAGTACAAAATATGTCGAAGAAGTCCTCAGATTCGGTGGGCTTCGTTATTTTAGGTGCAGGCAAGTTGTTACGCTCGTCTCCCCCCCCCCCTTCTTCCTCATCCCTTTGACAACGTTTACGACTTTCAGGTAAAGTTTTGCAAATATTCCAATCAAAACCCAGCAAGATATGTTTGGCTGCCGCTCGCATGTATGTTCCATTTGCAACGCCAAAACGGTGTTTGTACTTCCAAACGCAACTCAATATGTTAGATACCTTGCCACCTTCCCGTTTGCATAATTTTGTAAGTGTAGGAAGCGCAGACTGGGGAACAATGATCTATGGCATTTTGTCTTTATGACATTTTGTCAATGGCATTCACCCTATGGATCAACTTTATCCATCTCGATAGCTCAGTTGGGTAGAGCGCCTGGCTTCCGGTCCACCCACCCGGGGTGCGATGGGTTGGAGGCGCTTTGGGCGCTCATTATTTGCACTTGACATGAATACCCTGCAGCCGGTTGCCAGTAGGCTACGACCTCAAAACGGTTTTCGTCCTTCACTTCCTGGGACGTTCCGACAGTGGAGACGTCGACAAAGTCCAATCCATGTAGGGCGTACGAATGCTCGTGACGAAGACACATTCATGGTCGGTCAACCAGGATGCAAGCCCGTTGCTTTGGCAATCAAAATAATGAAACCAGGGGCTCCTTCATGCCATCAAGGGTATCGCAAGGTTCCATAGGGGTATGAGGAAGACGGCCTTGTAATCCCCATCGGCAACGATGACCTGCCTGTGCGGTGTAAGCAGGTCACCCTAGCAGAGTCCGGGACAGCCTCCCTCTCGGCTCTCCCCTTCCTTTTATTGTCTGGTATGCATCTTTCTGGACGAAATTGACGAATTCCCCGTTGTCTCCGACCTCTCTAATTTTGTATTGCGTGATAGCCTGGTCGAAATCTGATCTCGTCTCTTTTGCGAACGAAAACTGCGAAAAGCCAATCCACGCTTTCGTCCAAACTCTTACCGTGACGCTGCAAGTGATGCCTTCGGGGAATTTCACTTCCAGTCGCTGGCCAGCATGGTATGCAAGAATTCGCTGTGCAGGCGGCCCTGCGGACCCAAAAGATACTCAAGTACGACAAAAAGGCACTGATCTTGCACGAAAATTGGTCTAGCGCTTCCATACATCACAAGCTGGTGCTGAGGGTTTAATCTCATCTCATTACTTTATTTTTATTAGTTGCATGTGACGGGACCACAGGGGCCTGTATGGACAACTGGCTGTGCTTTTACCGTTGTAATACATTCCAGAACCCACCTCATGTTAATGTGCTCAAGTGACTAAAGAGTTAAAAGTCAATCTGTAATGCAACGTGCTCCTTAAAGAAGTTATGACTCACGTTCTGTGCGTATCCTGTGCGAAGACTGGGCAGGGAGTTAAAAGCCATATCCGTCCTGACACCTGTTCCCTTAAAAATTTAGTCCACGCGTACGTCGTTTCCATGGCTGGCAAACACTAGGCATCACATTGAAAGTGATGTTCGTCATGACACATGTTCCATTAAAGATGTAGCCCTCGCGTACTGTGCGTACCCTAAGCAAACACTTCGTGCTGAAAGGCGGTTGACTGTGCACCTCCTCCGCGGTCCACGCCGGCAGCGTCATTTTCGGCGCTTCTGGACGGCTGTTTGGCTCACGCTGCGGCCGTCCCAGCCAGGCCGGCCGGTCGTTTCCATGGCTGCCGATCAACAGAGCCCTATTATGTCGATTCGTCGTAACGCGGCGCACCTCTGGCGCCCCGGTCAACGGGCAGTGTGTGACCCGACCTGAGACTGACCTGTCGCGCCCGGGCCTGTGGTGACCCCACGTGCCGGTATCGATGTGAGCTGCTCCCACGTCAAGGTCACTAGCTACCCGCTGTGACCTTGGCAAGGTCGGTGGTGACAAGTTCGTTGGGCAGGTGAGATGACCTTGGGGACGCTTGTGGAAGAGGTCGAAATGCTTGGTTGGAATACAATCGTTGTAGACATTATGTTCAGCATCAATAAGCGTTTGGTAGTTCGAAGAACGTCAATCACTTAGCAAGTTCGGCAAAACTCAACATTGTTGCTAACAAAAAGAAGAAAAGTAACTCCTGCATTTCAAAGGGCATTATTTTATAATAACAGAAACCTTCGCTGATTTTATCGTTTTTAGAAGGCGATTATTGCGATTTTCAGAACATAGCCTTACCAACTACTTGAACCGTAAAAGACGATTTTTTACTGAAAAGTGTGATTTTAAAACTTTGCTCCGCCGCCCGGCGCCGTAATGTCACGTTCAAGCGAAGAGCTGCCGTCATGTTGGTATCAATGCAGTGGGCCATGCCGACCTCCATCCGGCCCCACGTTAAACCTTCACAGTTTTGAAGAAATATTGCAGCGAAGGGCTGTCGAGTTGAAAGAAACTGCGTGGAGAAGACAAGATACGGGGTGTCGAGGCGAGATGTCTTCCATGTTCATTGCTTCAAAACATGTTTTGAACAAGCCGAGGTCTTCTTGTACCGCATGACTTTTTGCTGTATTACGCAAATGTCGATGGGACAGAGCTCGACTCATATGGTTCTGCGTGTCGGACGCAGCGATCGGCAGATTGCCGTGCAATGTGTTCCTGGTCATCGCTACCTGCTATTGTCCCCGGTTAGTAGTTCTCGTAACTTTCGCCGCATGGATACATGCAATACTGTGCACAGGTGACTCATTGTGGCGATGTATGTGGTCCATTTGGAAAACCCTGTATGATTCCGCGACCCTGGCTGAGCCAGCGGGGGCTGAGTCTCTACGCTTATGTCCGTGTGAATCGCAATCGATGCCCTTTTGCACTTCACTGCGGCTCGCACGTCGCCACCGTAACATTGCACATTTGCAGATGTGTTGTGCCTTGATATAGGTATTGGAAAAGGTACAACTACTTCAGTTCGACGATCAATCGTATTAATACTTTAAATTAACTGCGTCGGTGTGGTCTTCTACCCCTGAGGTGGGTTCAAGGAGAAGAGATGAAAACTTCTTTTTTTAGTTTCGAAATGACTGGACAAACACGCGGCCGTACCAACCGCCAGCTCACCACCACTTAATTGCGTACTTGACGCATCTTCCTTGCGACATCGCGATAAGACATCTAGGTCAGGTATTTATTCCAGCCTTGTTAAACTCTGGCATGCTATCTGCGATCCATCCGATGGCATCGTTTAGCGATTATAATCGGTTCGTCGACAAAGAACTATGAGTCTCTGTATCACTTTTGAGGACCAACAGAAGATCTCAGAGCTAGGAACAAGCACTGTAAGAAGATTCGGAAATGGGGCGACTATATTGAAGGCATTGCGTGCCAACGGTGGCGGCGCACGGCGCTCGCCTCGATAACCAAGTATAGCATCGATGACGTCAGATATTTTCACTGACAATTTCGTCCACCGCCGAACAGCACGACACGACCGGCTGACGACAAGCCGACCAATCAACGGGGATTTATTTATTCGCTTTATTATTTCATAAACGCCATATCCCTCCGGGACTAATAAGTATTCATGTTCATCCATACTGCTGGGCAAGGGGCGTTCTGGACCCGAGCAGCTTCTGAGAATATTTTGTTTCCATTTTGGCTTCACCATATGCGGCAACATGGAGGCCAATGGAACCCAGACCCCGTGGTGAGTTATTACAACCCTACTGGCCAGACCGCCGCGATGGGGCGAAACCGCCGTGATGGGGCCAGAACGCCGCGATGGGGCCAGATCGCCGCGATGGGGCCAGATCGCCGCGATGGGGTCAGAACTCCGCGATGGGGCCAGACCGCCGCGATGGGGCCTGACCGCCGCGATGGGGCCAGATCGCCGCGACGGGCCGGACCGCCGCGATGGGTCAGAACTCCGCGATGGGGCCAGACCGCCGCGATGGGGCCTGACCGCCGCGATGGGGCCAGAACGCCGCGGCGGGACCGCCGCGTACGACATAGGAGGCATTCAGGTGACAGTGACAGTGACGAAGCTGTGATCGGGACGGACGGAGGCCGTCGGGGGTTAACAAGTCGAGGTCAGTAGTCGCCTCATCGGGGATGTATGTACACGTGCTGTATGTGTCCCGGTTGTATGGCACAGAGACAGCCACGCTCCGTGACAGAGAAACAGCGGGCATCGTCACCAGCCGTGACGTTGGGATGCACCAGGCGCTGCTGTCCGTTTTCAACTCAATGGAGGTGGGAGATCACAACCTATATTATATTCTAAGGTTACGACCATCATCATCACGACAATCACCATCACCGTTGCTAGGCACGGGCGTGTCGTGAAATGATGAAGCATGTGCTTCTAAAGACAAAGGAGCACACTCAGGTACACGGCGCTCGCGCTGAAGCGGAACAAACCAGCTGAGGCGGGGGGGGGGGGGGAGGGGGGAGGGGAGCATGGATCAGCCGCTGAAGCTCATTTTCATACCAGTACAATGGATTGATGAATATGATTAGCCAATGACGCGGGTGGACGTC